ATGAAGCAACCATTCAGTTGGGTTGAAAAAATAGATCCACCAACAAATCCATCACCCCTGAAACATGGCAAGCTAGTAGGATGATATGATGGGAGTGGGCCCAACACAGAAGATCCAAGGTTCGAAAACAAAGAGACCTGGACCAAGAGCCCCTTGACAGAAAATGTAAGACACCACCATAGAATTGTTGAAGTATGACAACTTTGCCCCCTCAATAATTCTAGACCTTGAGTCATTGCCCTTTAAACAGCAAGAAGTTCTAAAACATTGATGCGAAGGGAAGCCTCATTGTTGAGATATTCACCCCATCCCTGTAGTAAGGTCTGTGAAAAAAATGGATCTCTGGAGGAGGTGGCGGCAGAGTAATGCCTATCATAGTATTGTTCCGATCTAACTACTACTTGAGAATAAGAAGACTGGGGAATCCAGTGGATTACTATTCATGATTCAATGGTTGTGTAGAGACCACTGAAGGGATCTCATGTGCTCTCATCCCAAAGGAATGAGGGATTTGAGTGATGCCCACATCCCCAAAAGAGAAAGAACCATCTGTGCAATGGAAGAAAGAGACATAAGAGTTGGATTGCCTGTTCCATGGCATGTAGCCGGATGGGAGTTGACTGAGCATGATTGAGATATGTGTTGAAAAAGACAACCAGACAAATGATATACTGTGTTGGAGTGAGAAGAGATGTCTCAGCTCTGATAAGAAATCCTGCCTTGGTTGCTTTGGAAAACAGTATCTGGGTGTAACGTTCTGCCAACTGACGAGATGGTGCCAGCAGTAGCCAGATGTCCATGTAATGGTGTGTGCAAAGACCTAAGGAATGGAGGTGACAAGAAAAGGTTTGTTTGATTTGGCAGAACACATAAGGAGCCAAAGCTAGTCCAAAGGGCAGAGCTCTGAACTTGTGCACAAAATACAGATAGTGTCAAGTTGACTCTGCTATGGGAATGTGCAGATAGGTGCCAGCAACATCGAAATTGGTCATCCACAGTCCCTGTGAAAAATACCAATGCAGAGTGAGGAATGACTCCATTGTGAATTTTGGAGAATCTAGGAATTGATTCAGATGAGAAAGATTGATGCCTGGATGCCAATCTCCTGTATTTTTGGGCACAACAAACAAACAGGAATAAAACCCAGGAAAAATGGGAACAACTCTCTCCACTGCCCCCTCTACCAACAAATCTCTGAAAGGCATAGAACAAAGTTCTGAAATCCAAGGATCTGTGGAAGGCAGAAACACTACAGGTTGGGGGGAATAATGGTAATGGAGACGTGAACTGAATGACTAATCCTGTTGTACCTATAGTACCCATGAATCTGTGGTAAAGGTTTTCCACATGTCCAGAAATTTGCAGAACCGAGTCTCCACAGACTCAAAGGCATATGGTAGTCACTACTGCCACTGGTAGCATTCCAACCAAACAGAAGAACGATGTGGATATGGGCAGAACCTATTCTTGGTACTAACAGACTGAGGGACTGATGTTGGAGGTCGGTACACTTGAATAGGGGTGGAAATATGATCTCCTGCAGGAGCCGAGGAAAGTCAAGAAGCCAATTATGACAGGGATGAATGCAGATAGGTAACACGAACCCTTGAATCCAAAGACTCTGGAATGCCTGCACAAATCAAGGGTTGGAGAAAAGGACTTCACATAACTCATGGAGGGTGGCAGCAGGTAGTAGATTTCTTTTTTTTTTAAGAAAATGACATAGGTAACACAAAGAATGCTCAAAGTATCTCCAACAGTCATACTACAGAGAAACCTGTTAATGAACGTTTTGTTGAGAAAAAGTGACAATATTATCTGAAGGAGAGGCTTACATACAGTACCAAGATAGAGGGTACAATAGCATAGGTGGAGAGTATCACAAGACAGATATCATCACGGGCAATTAAGTGAGGAATAAAAGACTGGAGCAAGTGAAAAAAAATCAGACCAATGCTTAGAAAGGAAAAGAAACCCTAGCAGTCAAGTAGTAGCTGTAGTGAGAGGAGGTAATTATGTTTTGGAAAGATTACTTTGACCCACATTCATCCAGTCACACTTACTTTTCTGTTTTTTTTTACTTATGTCTGCATTTTACACTCCAAATAGCATTATTAGATATTTGATCACAAGTAACTTACAATATTATGATTTTTTCTCTTATTGGGTGTTAACTTATAATATGCACAATATAATTCATTGTTTTGTCATATTTAAACTTACAATAAAAAGCAATAATATTCAAATTCTTGCTTAATTTCAAACTTAGAATATAACATCATTTCATAAGGTATTTCATTGCATTAAAACCTATAAAATTACTCAATATTATGAAATTTCTTATCAGTAGTAAACTACCAATGTTATACAGGATTATAAGGTATCTATTCAAATGCAAGCTTACAATAATGCAAAGTATTTTCAAGGGTTACATATTTCAAATGTTTGTCACGCAACAAATGCTTATACAGGTGTGGTGTATTGCTTAGCTGTGTGCTGCATACTAACAATTGACTAAGGTTATTCCTTTTCTATTTCTATTTAGATTCTTTTGTATTACTAGTTATATCATTGATGAAAGTTCTGAATATTTTAAAACCAACTTTAACACTTTAGTTACATTACTAGTACTAGTACAAATGTATATAATAATTATGGACATTATTTTTTATTTTTATACAACTGAAAATTATTTTGCATTGTTGGCTTAGTGCATAGACTTATGACTAACTCTCTCAAGCTGGACAAACTTCATGTAATATTACTGGAGTTATAGTTTGAAAACAATTATTAATTGCATGATTCAATGTGCTTTAATCATTTATAAGACTTTGTCTTCTTGTGAATTAATTCATGATATTTAGAAGTCTAGTTAATTTTTACGTTGAATTGGTTTCATTTATGTTCTTATCTAGTTTTATCTTAAATATAATAAACTTACAATATAAGAAACATCTTCAAGATTTCATAAAACATTACAGTCACTCACAGTATTAATGCAAGTATTTTATAGAGTGTAATAATCTGTTAAATGTATCCAACAGCCAAAATAAATAGACATGTTAACATGTATCTAATTAAATATTTTGTAACTTACACATAACAAGAAATTAAACTGAAATAAAGCAATATATTTAAAAGCTAGCATCTACACGGTATTTAGAGATCTTTTAATACTGATAAATGTTCCTGTTTGTTTTTCAAAGCCAAAGAAATGAACAAAATTCTCATATTTGAAGATAAACATGAACTCACATTTCAATGAAAATCGAACCAAATGGAAGAATACCTCCCAGAACAATGATTATTGGGGGCTCCATAAACCATTTTTTCTCGGGAATTGGCCGAGGGACAGCATTGATCCTGCAGGGATAGTTGGTCTGTCCAAACATATTCCGACCCAGAACAGTTCCAACCAAGGTCAAAGGTAGGATCACAAAGAGACATATGCAAGTTACAGCCACCTTTGAATATAATCAGATATATTCATTAATGATTGTAATATACTTCAAGTGACCTAACTTACTTTTAAGTTTAAAAGCCATATGAAAACATATGGCATATAGCATCTTCTGTAAAATTACTGTTAGTGAACACATTTTTCTTCATTACGTCATTACATAAACTAAGCTACCAATACAACTGTAACTGCAAAAATTATAAAGTATTGGCATTATATGTCATTGTTTACTCATGGTAGGAAATTTCTTTTCATCAACAAGTAAACTTATTGAGAAATATATTTCTAAATATTAAATCCGGTTTCATAATGGTTAAAATAAAACATGCAAATATAACTATCTGGTTTGTCTGTTTGTGTACTCATTTTTTATTATCTACAGTTTCCACTGAAAGGAGGTTATTGAACTTTCTTGATGTAAACAATCAGTCATAAGTAACATTTAACTGCTCAAAATGTTACTTGTAAAATGCAAGTAGTTATAATGTTATTTAATAATACACTAAAAATATAAACACTATTTGTATGCTGATAAATAATACCACATAATAACTAATTTACAGTGCTCAAAAATACATTCATACATACCAGTTGTTTAACATTAATTGAAAATAAAGGATGGCTTTTAGGTATTACACAATGCAGGTCCTTTGACATTCAAAAAAAGCAGGCAAAGTGGTAAGTAGCAAGTGTTGTTAAGTTACAATATCCTAAAATTGTGCTATATATATATAACTGGGAATAGAAAAAATGCTTTATTTATATCATAATGTCAGCTAATTAGATAGTAAGACTGTAATTATACAAATTATAAAGTAACTTGCATCAACTTACTATAATATACCAGTTTTCAGATAATGAGGTTTATTCTCACATCTCTCATCGAGTTAGTAGTTTTAATACAGATATAAATACAACAATCACAAAAAACTAAACACTTAAGATCAACTTTACTCCCTCTCTGTTGTGAATAGCAACCAAACATGAAAAATTACAATTTATCATGTTTTTTAGAAAGCTACGTGCTGTAGGATATTTAATAGTCAACTAATTCTTTGCCTAAGATAATGATATCAATAAATATAAACTGAAGACATTACCATTTTAGTAAGCAGCCAATAATCAAGTTCTGACTTACCATTGTTCCAAACGGAATAGCACGTGAAGCATGGTAGTAAATGGCAACTAAATTTATCACAAAGGCAGTTCCACAGACAAGGAAAGGTAGAAAAAAAGCACTCACTACCATCTGCTTGATCCATTTTTTACCTTTGAAAGTAACATACATAGATTTTATTTCTAGAGTGTAACTAAGCTAATTCAATGCTTCACTTGTAGATGTGTCTGGTCGAAAAACTACATTTTTACATAAAGAGCTATTCCAGAGAAAGCTGTGTAAAATAATCTAGTAAATGTAACAAGAAAAGTGATAAACAAATGTAGCCTAAAGTTAGTGAAAGGATTTTATTTAGTTAAAGTTTTTTTTTATTCATAAAACAAGATGCCCAAGTAATACCTTGTACACCCAACTTTGAACTTATTATAGCAACTTCTGCATCTGATCACATCAATGAAATAACTAATTCATGATAGCAGACAGTCAATGAAATACACTTGTGTACTATTACATCTCTTAATTCTGTCATGAAAAAATGTGAAACATGGTACACCTGAGAGAATTTGGTACAAATTTCAGAACTTAGTGCAGCTGTAGATGTGCTTACACTCAGAATCTTTCATACAGCAACTATTACAACAGAAAGAAATGCAACGTATTCTGCCATATGATTAATTTTATGGTTCAACCTGAAATCCATTTTACTGCTAATGATTTCGTGTTGTGATGAAAACATTAAATGATTATAAGTATGTAATGTAATTATTCATAGCTTTTGCAGAATTTTAAAATTTTACATTATGAGTGCTAAATTGTTTAGAAATATTCACACATACATATTAAACGTATTTCATCTTGAAATGCAATGTTTCATTATCATCATACAAAACACCTTTCAGTATAAAACCTGGCATGCTTACTGCAGAACTTTGTGGTTGCATGCGAAGAAAATTCTATAAGCTTCTATTGTTTAGAGAAAGCATATTAGTTTCATTTAGCATTTGTAACATGGAGTATACAGAAAAACTTGTGTTAGTCGCAAAACAGGCTGAAAAGATTTTATATAGTATATATTCACAAAAGCAGTTAATATTATCATTAATATGTTTGCCTTATTCTTCTACAGAGGTTGAGCACATCATATTAAAATGATTTTGGAGCCATATTGTTACAGTCCATGTCATCTAATCTACTCACACTCTATCTGATGACCACCTAAACTGCACAAAAGGCTCCATCGTAAGGCTGTCATATCCAATGCACACCCCTCCTCCATGATGACTTTCCATAAGCCATCTAGTATAAGAGGATGACAATTTCCCATTGCTTGTTTCAACAGTATGATTGCACAGAAATTAATAGGTGTTGTGTATGGTAATTTGACTGGTATGTCTTGATAAGGAACAACATGAAAACCCATTTCATTCTTGAACTGCTTGTAGTGAAGCCATACCCTTTTGCCCTTGTTTCCAAATGAAAATCCTTCTTTATAATGTTGCATATTTTTCCTGGGACACATGAATGGCTTTTCCCACTGACCTTCTGTATTTGTAGTCTCTCACCTTTTAAAAGATGCTTCACTTTGCTTACCATGACTGTTGTACAACTTCTTGCAGGTATCTTTCTGATGCCATAAGTAAATGGAAGTAATTTCCTTCTCAGAAATTCTAAGTGTCTGATCTGAAAATGTCTTTATGATCTGTGTATACGAATATTTCTATCAGAAAGAATCAAAATCCTTTCCTGAAAGTGATTAATTTTTGATGGCATCACACTACCTAGGAAGTGCCCAACAATGTCAAAATGTATTTCTGATATATCCTGTTCCAGCTCTACTTTATATCTGCCAGGGTTAACATGTGATTTGCTAATTCGCATATTCAAAATCATTTAGTATAAGGTACTCACACCTCTGTATTTTAGCAACAAAACAAGTTTTCCATTTCGAAATTACCTTGTCAGTGAAATATTTTGGAGTATACAAAAACTTTTAAGAGGGCTATTCTCAAGAAAGCTCTGCTAGAAATCATTTTCTAGCTAGAATGCAGTTTTGATGACCCCAGTAATGTTTTTAAGATATATCTGAAACTCTCACTAACCAATTTCACAATAATTAATGACAGGCCACAGCTGATTATGATACTAATACATGGACCTTAACATAACTTCACAAACGGCTGGCATACGTGCCTAACTTATGATAACCATGAAGGTTATTTAGCTGCATATAATATGACTGTATGCAATAATACTAAGCTGTTGATTTAAACCAAAATCTAATTGCTGAAGCATGCATACTTGATAAGAACTAAACACAAGCACATTAAAACAATGCACAAAAGATGTGTTATAGTAGGTTCTACAGCTTCAACATAACATGAAGTGCAAAAATTTAGATGTCAGAACTTCAATCATATGGATTTATTTTGTAAACATGGTATGGAGAAATAAGAAGTTAAGGCAAACAGAAAAACAGTAGACCAATAACTATGGTTTAAAAAGAATAATCTGATATTTGACTATGAAATATTTTTGAAGAAATGCTTTTAAAACTATTTACCTATTCCCATTCACTACCATTTTAGGTGGACATTTTTCTCAACTTTCTTCAATGATATGTGTATAATTTTAGCAGTTACATATCTACTACAGGTCTACCACAACGTCGGACCTTATCGTGAAAAAC